GCGGGTAAGAAAGTCCATTGCCACTCGCATACAGAGCAGCTACTCGCATTCTGGAGTCATTTCCTTGCTGCCTGCCTTCCCGACAAGAATCACGTGTGCAAAGGAGATGCAGGAGGCGCACAGATGCAGCTCGGATGGTGGTAGGGTGTTTTTTAAATTATGTTTCAAGAGGAAACTGCTTTCCCCGGGATCATTTCAGCAGGGAACATGCTTTTCTTTTTAAATAAATCCATTCGACGCAAACCATTGGACTTCTCTCTTTTTCTGAAAAAAGCAGTTGCTTGTTGTGACTGGGGAAAGAAGGCTGGGAGGTCACCATTTGTCCAGAGGAAGAAAGGATTCCCTTTAAGTGCGGCTTGTTCTTCTCTGCGGTCCTGTCTACATAGCAAAACCTTATCACATGGCAGGGGGGACTCCGTTAGAACACTCCAAGGCCCCCACAGCTCTGAGACACGGTTTGACCTTGCCTGTGGCGCTGATCCCAACCCGTTTTAATGGTGTTACCAAATCACACGGCACGCCTGTAAGATTCAAGGCAGAAACAATTTGGTAACAGAGGGACCTACAAAAATCAAGACAATGGCCTGTCAGGCCGACCAATATTGTTTCACTGTTTCCTTGTGCTCCTGTCTGTCCCTGTTAATTCTTAGGCCTTCTCCTCATTGACAAAACAAGGGGTGTCACACGACACACGTTAGTTCTCTTGTGATAAGCTCCTATTGGAGCCAAGGCTCTGTAGCTTTTAAGCACGCTTCAGTTAGGCCAGACGCAGCGTTGTCCTCTCCTAGCTTTGTCGTGGTAAAAGCTCACCCATGCCTCGTCTCCACTAGGATCGTATAGCACGCTAGCTAGGGGGCATTACCTCGCTGGCAGCGACGACATAGCCTCATACTTAGATTGTCAGCTTTTGGGGGCCGGGGCCATCTTGTTCAGTGTCTGCACCGCGCCCAGCACAACGGGATTCTGGTCCATGACTGGGGTCCCTGGTGCACCACAGTACAAATACTAACTAGTATCAACAGTTGGTTGAATCTACAAAGACCATCCACCGCTGTAGCATCTCTGCCACCATTTCAGATGCTGTGACCAGAATCAGAGCTGCTCCTGTTGATGGGAGCAGGGGTCAGACAGTCCTGCCCTGACTCCTGCGGGCACAGACTCCAGAGAGGGAATGTCTATAGCACAGTAGGGCTAGTACCTGTGACGTTGCACCCCATAATGCTTTATGGAAATATGCTTATGAATGTAAATATGACATAATTGGAATATGTTTTATGATACATATGCCATGTAACATATCTATGTAAAGGTTATGATCTACTGAAGCTATTCATCCTATTTGTATGCATGTGTCATTTTTGCATTCAAAGTTATGAATATTGGCTGTGTACTTGTTTGATTTTAAGTAGCCTTAGTAAGACATTCAGGCAGCTTCTTGAGAAAGGAATGTGCAGGTTAAGTGCTCAATCAAGAAACACTTAACGGACAATGGATCTTGGAAGGCTCCAATCCACATAAGAAGTCTCCTTGAGGACGTTCAAGGTAGCATGTGAATAATGGCTGCTACCTGTAAGTTCTGAGTCATGCATGGACATGTGACTTGCTCATGTGACTCCAAAATTCCATCTTGGAGCTGGATTCTACACAGGGGGAGGGAGAGGTGTCCACCCACAAGAGAAAGTCTATTTAAACCCCTGGGAGACCCCTCCATTTTGTCTTCAGCTGGTTCAAGAGGATACCTGAAAGAAACTGGAACAAAGGACAGTAACAACAGAGGATACTGTGATACTCTGATACTTAACAACAGAGGGTGTGAGTGATTGCTGGACCCAGACTAGAAGGAGACTAGTCTGTAAAAGGAAGCTAATTGGAACTCCTCTGAGGGTGAGGTTTTATCTGTATTCAGTTTTCTTACTGTATTAGGCATAGACTTGTGTGTTCTATTTTATTTTGCTTGGTAATTCACTTTGTTCTCTCTGTCACTACTTGGAACCACTTAAATCCTACTTTCTGTATTTAATAAAATCACTTTTTACTTATTATTTAACCCAGAGTATATATTAATACCGGGGGTGGGGGGGGAGCAAACAGCTGTGCATATCTCTCTATCAGTGTTACAGAGGGTGAACAATGTATGAGTTTACCCTGTTAAACTTTATACAGGGTAAAACGGATTTATTTGGGGTTTGGACCCCACCGGGAGTTGGGCATCTGAGTGTTAAAGACAGGAACACTTCTTAAGCTGCTTTCAGTTAAACTTGCAGTTTGTGGGACGTGGTTCAGACCTGGGTCTGTGTTTGTGGCTGGCAAGCGTGTCTGGCACAACCAGGAAGGGCTCCAGAGTCCCAGGCGGGCAGGGAAAGCAGGGGCAGAAGTAGTCTTGGCACATCAGTTGGCAGCCCCAAGGGGGTTTCTATGATCCAACCCGTCACAGCACCTTTCTTAAAAAGGGAGAAAAGCGGCTATCTGCACCGGCAGGGGAGTGCCTGGAAAGCTGTATGGAATACAGGTGACCACTGGCAAGAAGCATGTTTAAACCCTGGTTCTGATCCTGGTATCGCCAGGACTTCGGTGCTGATACCCTGAGCAAGTACTTAAACCACTGCCCATTCCCACTAGCAAAAGAACAGAAAGAGCATCGTCCAGGGTCCGAGTGCTCTGTAGCTGTTGGCAGAAGCTCCATCAGTTCCGAATGCTCAGTTATTCCTTTTGAACTGCAAAGGCTTGTCAACACAGGGACTCAGGAAAGGTAATCCAAAAAAGTGAATTAAGATAAACTGAATTAAGGTCTCTTTAATTCTGAAAAAGTGTCTACACAGGGTTTTAATGCAGGTTTAACTAATCCCCTTCAAATTCACACCTTTTGTTAATTCAGATTAACTTTCATGAACATCCCCAGGAAGAGAAGCCCTCCATTTCATCAGTTTCCAAAAATAGAGCCCCAGGGAAACGAGTATGTAGAATTACTTTCAATGAGCGGAAACTTTCCCTGCCAATAATTTACAGTTCTTCTGTGGGGTTTCCCCGAACTCCAAAGAACTCCGCAGCCATTTCGCTCAGGGAGCGTTCCACTGCCTATCAAAGCAGCTTAATTTTACAGTGTCACTGCTACTTATGGAAAGTGATCATCACAACCAAGGTCCCAAGTTCTTTTCTCTTGAGGAGTGTTGACGAGGACAGGAGGGACGGCGCCACTGAATGGAACCAGCTAATGGTCCTGCCTAGAATGCTGGATTCTCTTGGTGGTTGAGCCCAGTGCAACAAGCGTGGTCTCCTGGCCTCCCTGTTCAGCCTGAAGCACAAAGCCCAGGGGACCCCATGGGAACGAGGAAGGGCTCTTTAAGAGGCCATGCACAGCCCTGCTAAGATTCTTCCTCTCATTTAAATATCTTTTCAGATCCCGCTCTCCCTCCGTGACGTGCCGCGGGTTAAAATCCCACCCCTGAAAGGAGAGGAGAGGCTGGTGGAGTTCTATCTCTCACCAGCTGTTGTTGAGTAGCCAATGCTCCAAATAACCACCAAAGAGCAAACTGTGAGCCTTTGGCGGCGTAACGTGGGACACCGCAGGTAATTTTCCAGGGTGAAGATCCTCTCCCCCCCCCATTTCAAATGGCACTCGTTTAACGTTGTACTATATGGATCAATACACTCATGGCCACATCCACCAACAATCACTGTCCCCGAGCTCTTATCTAGCGCTTTTCATCAGTAGAACTCAAAGCACTTTACACAGAAGATCAATCTCATTATCCCCATGTCACAGATGGGGAAACTGAGGAACAAAAAGGCAAAGTCACCCAGCAGGCCAGGGAGAGTTCAGACGAGAACCCAGTTCTCCTGAAGCCCAGTCCAGTGCGCTACCCACTAGGAAACACACCCATCAGGCTTACCAGGACCTTTTTGGCCTAGTGATACTGCTCTCTTCTTTGACTAAAGTTGAGAATGGCGTTTTGATTTAAATAGGGAAACAACTGAGCTGCTCCCCTCGGAGAGCACCCCCATTCCTACAAGCCAGAGGGTTTATCCCAGGCGAGGGGGAGAGGGATGTTAAAATACTGGCAGCCCATCAGCTGCTCTCTCTTAGTTGGGGATCTTATATCTGACGTCATTTCCTGATGCTGGCAAGAAAGACGTGTGATTGGCCAGCGGCAGATGAGAGAGAATCCAGCGTCTTGGCTTGTTTTAGGGAAGCTGGTGGGGCGGTGTATTTGTCAACTCCTTAAACAACGCTGAATTCTTTCCACTCCCAGCCCCCAGGTTGTGTCATGACTCACAGCCTGCGTCCATTCACCACAGAGATGAAACGGCACATCCAGTAATACCAGGAGTCAATTCCAGAACCGTGGCTCTGGCAGTTCTATGTGCACAGCGCCAGCGGGTTGTCCGGCGCAGATCTGCAGGCAGCTACATCAGATATCTGTCACTGAGGCACCACAGAATTTCAGGAGACATGATCTTAATTAGGGGCCGATCGTGCAGCCTTCGCTCCCTCAAGTTACGACCTGAAGGCTCAGGCCCCCGGTTGCCCCTGGTACGGGGTCATTTTCAGAATGCATAGTGGTGTTCAGCCGCTGTTGTACAAACCTCTTTGGCACTGCTGGGTCATAATTCACAGCACCATTGCGGCGTGCAGTAAAGCAGAGGACTGTGTGTGTATATATGTGACCTGGCTCTGTGGGTAAAAGTCACTCCTGGGCAGGAGACCAGTAAAAACTTATGCACCGCTTAGGTCCTTAAATATATCAGAGGGATAAATATCAGGGAGGGAGAGGAATTATTTCAGCTCAGTACTAATGTGGACGCTAGAACGAATGGATATAAACTGGCCCTCAGGAAGTTTAGGCTTGAAATTAGACGAAGGTTTCTAACCATCAGAGGGGTGAAGTTTTGGAACAGCCTTCTGAGGGAAACGGTGGGGGCAAAAGACCTCTCTGGCTTTAAGATCAAGCGTGATAAGTTTATGGAGGGGATGGTTTGATGGGATACAGTGATTTTAGTCAATAGGTTGATAACAATGGTCAATGATGGGATATTAAAAGTTACTACAGAGAACTTTTTCAGAAGATCTGGTTAGGGAATCTTGCCGCAATGCTCGGGGATCAGCTGATCGCCATATTTGGGGTCGGGAAGGAATTTTCCTCCAGGGTAGATTGGCAGAGGCTCTGGAGGTTTTTCGCCTTCCTCTGCAGCGTGGGGCAGGGGTCGCTTGCTGGAGGATTCTGAGCGACTAGAAGTCTTTAAATAATGATTTGGGGAGTTCAACAGCTGAGTCAAGGGAGAGAATTCTTCCAGGAGTGGGTGGGTCAGGTTTTGTGGCCCGCATCATGCGGGAGGTCAGACTAGATGATCATAATGGTCCCTTCTGACCTTAGAGTCTATGAGTCCTACATTAGCCCTATTTTGAGGGTGCACTGGCCTTCTGCACAGGGGTGGCCTTCATGCAGTTTTAGCATCGACCACTGTTCGTGTCCCTTCCCTTGCCGTGCTCCCAGAGCCGATAGT